GTGATCTCTACGTTGGCACCTGCCACCCCACAATCACCAGCCGTCTATGAACTACCGGAATTCCATGGGGTCCGGAACAACGCCGACAGCTGGGTGGCAACCGTCAACGCGCTAGCAATGCGTGAGGCCTGGACAGAGAATCATCAATGGTATGTCGCCATAGACCGTCTTCGGGAAAGTGCAGTGGCGTGGCACCGGTATGAAGGCTGGAAGCAGCAGTCAAGGGCCGAGTGGAGCTGCGAGCTCTTAGCTGCTTTTGGTCGTAATCCTTACCACTTCTCCACCAACACCACGTTCAGCCTGGCCGGTATCGAGGAGCAAGCTCCAGAGGCTTTCCACCTCGAGGCTGCAACTGTGCGCTGCAGCTTACCACACTAGAAGTTAGAAGACACTTTGTCGATACCCTAAGCAAGTTCACTGCGGCCAGCGGCTGCTACAGAAGTCCGACCTCTTGAAGGGCATTGCTCCAGTGAAACAGCCGCAGAGAATCATCTCGACTGTGCTGCATTGCCCTTCACAAACGCACCCCCATTCGAAAACCGAGCTGATGAGGAGCAACACCTCGAAGGTTCCTCGGAGCCCTCCAGCCGTGCAGCAGAAAGCTTCTCTGCCTGTCCTACGAATGACGTCAGACGCATGTGCGACACGCCACTGCTGCTCTCAGTAACCGCGCCGGTACGCGATGCCATCATGTCAGTGGGAGAGGCTGATACCAATCCTCATACAGCTCAGTTAGAGAAGCCAGCCACAATATCACCTTTACCGAGGCAAGTGGAGACACCAGCATCGCCTATGCTTGAACCGCCTGCGATCATGGCGCCGGTCCAGCCCAAGGTAACCACTGCTGGTCTCACTGACCAAGATCATGAGGAGAAAGTTGGCGCTCAAGACGCAGACAGCAGCCAATGCGATGACAGCTTCACAAAATGTCCTGCCGCTGATGCCGAACCCGGCCGTAAATTATGTTCTCTGCCACACATCTCAGAAGTTGCGTACCCATTCTCGACACAAGCCAAAGTACCCAGCGCGTCTTTTGGGATATTTCGGCTACCTCGTCCGCAGTTCAACGTCTGCCGCTGATTTTGCGGCCCGTCTGAAGCGCGCTGTCAGGTGCATGTTTAGCTGCGTCCCACCGAAAGTCTCTGCATGGCCGAGACCGACCACAACGATGCAGCCAGTCTCAACCTCCCGATAGCCTTGTGGAAGACTCTTGCACCCAGTTTTAGCATGGCCAAGGCTGACCTCCGAGATGCAGCCAGTATATCGACCGCCAGATCTACCTTTGGGATACCGGAACCAAATCGCGGCACGGTCAAACGCGTCGGCCGCAACGGGACAGCCAGTGCCGGCTGCCTGAGTCCACAACACTTATTCAAGAGACATCGTGTCGTGCAAAAGAGCGACCAGCACTAGACAGCCAGTGCCGTCCACCAGAGACGCTTCCCCAGACCGTCGCTCCATGTTGCATTGTGGTCCGGGCTGAACACCACGATGCAGCCAAGCCCGCCCACCAAAAACATTGCCGCCAGCTCCACGCGCGCGCAGTCATGGCCGAGTGTCATGACCAAGAAAGACGCTGGCGCTTCGGCGCGGGAGTAGCTAGAGCAAAGAAGAGAAGAACGAAGGCAGAATAAGAACAGCTGGCCCAGGATCGGGTGTTGTCTCTTGTTCTCTGTCTAGTACAGCAAAAAAGTGTAGTACACTCTTTTGAGCCTGTTTGGTGCCAAACATGCCAAAAAGAATGTGCTACACTCGCCGCCACGGCTACTGGTGGCGCTGACTGACACTCACACGTTTATTTCACATGTAAACCCTATAAAGTCGCTGGGGGGATAGCTGCCGTGGTAGCTCAGTGGTAGAGCATCGAACGCGTCATTCGAAGGTCGCAGGTTCGGACCCTGCCCAAGGCAAGTTATCTTTTCACCCACTTTTTTTCATATTGACATTACAATTTGGTCTAATATCTTCCCCTATACTTTCCTTGGCATTATTGTCAGTTAGATCTCATTAATAATGTATAAAAACATGGAAAAACGATCCCTTGGGTATACACTTTTTCCCTATATATATATATATATATATATATATATATATATATATATATATATATATATATATATATATATATATATATATATATATATATATTTATATATATACATATATATATATATATATGAAAGTAGATGTGCTTTCACATAACAACTGTTTATTGTGCCGACGTTTCGAAAGGAACCCCGTCTTTGCCTTGAAAAAGACGGGGTTCCTGTCGAAACGTCGGCACAATAAACAGTTGTTATGTGAAAGCGCATCTACTTTCATATTTATAACCTTGCGGCAACACCGAAGTTATTCTTCTGCATATAAGCCTTATATATATATATATATATATATATATATATATATATATATATATATATATATATATATATATATATATATATATATATATATATATATATATATATATATATATATAAGTGTGTGTGTGTATGTGTGTAAACGAAAAAATTATCGAAAGAAAGACTCCAGCGCACGGAGTCGAGTTTAGGACCTATAAGTCGTGAGTGCGAGGCGTTAACCACTTGGCAACGGAGGAGCACCTCTTTCAACGTTCAAGTGGTAAGCTATCTATATCTATCGCTCCACTTACCACTGCTCCCGGGCATCTCGGGAGGGGGGGGGGGAATTATCGTGTTTCCAAATTACCACCAAGATGGCGAAATAAGCATGCTATTCACGCTCCAGTCTTGGAGCTTCTTTTTTTTTATCGTCCGATGATCGTTCACGGCGGCATGGTTCACGTTGGTACTGTTTGTACGCCCAATGTTCACGGCCAATTGTTCCCGGCCGCACTTGACAGTGTGGCAGTCTATGTCCACGGAAACTCCAGTGCTGGTTCTCATTGTGCATGTTAGAATGGTGGGGTCTTTTTCTTTTTTTCTCTTTGGTTACTTGGTTTTTTTTTGGGGGGGGGGGGGGGGGGGGGAGGGATCATACGACTTGCACCGAATGGGTCGAGGCAAACAGCGGCGCTCGTCCTGAAAGAATACAGGTAACACGCTCCTCCTCCAATCGAGATTCAGCCGTGACGGACGAATTTTTCAGGAGCTAGCTACTCGTTGGCCTATTAAAGTGCAGTACTTCTAAAAACACCTAAAAATAATCATACGGCTTGACGTATCACTACGCGAATTTATGAGCTGCCGACTACCCGAAGACGCGCGCACATGAAGCCTCCCTAGTGGCGACGGGTTAACAGGGTCAAATGTATGACTCCTAAGATAATGCCCACAGACTACCTAATCAAATTTAAAAGATTATAATCTGTGCGTTTAGAAAAAGTTGTTAGCGATATAGAGTACGAGGTATTCGACTATGGGATTGCCGTTTGGGCTACTGCAACGCCAGAAATTTTGGTCATAAGATTCAGCCACCCAGCGAAAGTTAAAGCAGTTTTTCAACGTCCAGCCATTCTGATCTGGTGGCTGCGTTCATACTTGCGAATATTGTCCATCATGTACGACTCTGTATACTTTCTGTCTTTGCAGCCCAGAAATTTGACGGAAGTATGCGGAGCTTGAGATCGTCGAAGTTGTGCCCTGCCACATTTAAACACTGTGCCACTGATTTCGTTGAATTCTCGCCTTGTGCTCACGATGACTGTTTGAATATAAAATTAACAGGTGGTCCTGTTTTGCCATGCAGAGTACCATTCATGACAATATGAACACTCTATCATGTAGATAATATATGCACTAATGAGGGTAAAACCCTACTCTACATAAAGAACAAAATCACTCCAGACGTTTTTGAATGTTGCGTCAATTTGAAGGTGTTCTCAAATAATAAATAAGTTTACATGTTCTCGTATGATGTAGCAGTCACCCATGTGGCCAAAATAGGAAAAGGCCCTGCTGGAGATGCTTCAAAAAGCTCTGATTCTAAGTGTCACATAAAAATGTTGGCGTATGTTGGCACGAAGGGTGTTCCCATACTTGTGCCAAAAGTTTCCAGCTATTAGGACGAATTGAATTCATAACAATTAGGCACCAGGATCAATTCAAGTAACTACAGGTGAATTTAGGCATGATGTGTCCACCACTTTTTATAAGTGGCTTTGATACATTATTTGTGTCTTTCTTCATTCTATTTGTCTTTGGGAACACTTTGCCTAATAGCAGCTTCTGTAATCCCCGGTGCATTTCAGCCTAATAATCCTCTCTCACGTAAGACGGCGCCCATCTGATCACAAGTCTGCCTAAACTGCACAAAACTTACATATTAGAGATCAGTGACATTCTTTATTACATCACAAAACTTTTCAACATTAGGTTGCTCGTTATTGTACAGCACCTGTAAACGACTTTTCAGATAAAGTGGCACGACACCCTGCCATGTATCTTTCTGTGATAATTGGGTGGCACGAAGTTCCAGTATTATGTGTCTTCATGGTAAAAAGTATGCACTGATGCATCACTAACGACTTCTCCATCATTTCAGCCACGTGCTCTAAATTATTTTACGAAAAGGGGCCAAGACCTCTGTCATTGAACTTACAAAAGTACTAAATCATTTTCTCCGACATGTTTTGTACACCGTGTGAAATATTTCCCTCGGAAACAACCTCTGAAACGGCAACAAATATAATTTTTGTTCATGTGGTTCCAATAAACATTTAGTAGCAAATACACTTTGTGTTTTTTTATCTTTTCTATCAACGCGGTGTGTTTGCAGTGTTTTTTTAATATGTTCAAGTACCACCAGCAGTTGGTCCAGCTTTCAAATTTTGTTTGCAGAAGACAACTGCTTTGCAGAAAGAAAAAAATCAGCCTTGTTCGTAAAAGGTGTATAATCAGCTAAGAGACCTCAGATGAAAAAATACAAGCCCAAAGGAAAATGGGTTACAAAAGAAGAAATTCAACTTGTATGGGCATTGTGTGCACGTAGACAAAAGATCCGGTGAGCGGCACCACTACTTTTAGTCTCGGATTGCGGTTCGTTATGGCAAACCTCTATGATATTAGGCATTTGGTTATTTTAGTAGTCGTTATTGTCATCCTTTTGACTACACGGAACCATGATCAGTATTTTACTATCGCTGTTCCTCTTCCTGGGTGTTGTGGAAGACTGACGCGTCAACGCTATCCAAACATACCACTTTATAAACCTCACTTTACTACAACACCCCCGCCCCATCATCAGCATCCCTCAAGACAACCCTCCAAGCTGGAAAGCGGATTTTCTACAAATAAGACTTTCCCGGGTACGTAATATAGCATATCCTTGCTTGATATAGCCAAGGTGTATAAATATGATTAGTAAGAGCAGAACTATACTGGCCGAGACATCCATATGTTCATAAGTGTAGTTGATTTCGTTACTGAGAACAGCTTCATTTTTGCTGTATGACGATGGTGTTATAGCATTTATTGGGCGTTCATTTAGCTATACGAACTTGATTTGAGTACGACAAAGAAAATACATATTAACGGACAAATCATGTCAGAACTTTGCGTACAAACAGATATTGTTCAACGACTTCTTATTAGACAGTTTTGAAAAATAAAGCATATTGTAGGCTTTCTACAAGGGTTATTTTGACATATACAAACTCACGCAGTTTTTTCGCTAGCAAGCTGGAACTGTAACGGCCGAATGCTTTGGTAGAAAACTTGGTGCATTATCCTCATGAGCACCGATTGCGTGAATAGTGGGTTTCAAATATAATAGCTAGGTTCCACAACCAATGATATCATTATTAGGCACGCTGTGGTAAAAAACGCCGACAGTTTAGTCCAGCCCATGTTTTTAAACTGAATTGACAAAGAACACTACACCAGCGTCAACCATTTCTCCTCCACCGAAATGCGACTGCTGCATCCAGGGTCTGAGCACAACCTTGGAGGATAAATGAGGTCAGGAGCTAGGCGCTATAACCACTGCTTTGCCGTGGTGGAATAGTCGTGTGTATTGAAATGCTTCCACACCGAAATTTCATGCGAAAATATAGACTTGGTGTTTTCATCACCTTCACGTAGCACAATGAAAGCAAAAGTCATTCAACGTGTCCATCTTCCATGCCCATTATGCTACGTCAACGTCGCTTTGTTTTTTGAAGTTTTCAGCCGGCAAACAGCATTCGACAAAAATGATCCAGCAGCTCGATCAGCCACGTGATAGTGTTTTTGTGTGTCAAATAACGCAAATAATAAGAACTCACAGGCAGTGGGGCCATGTAGATATAGATAGATATGTGGGGTTTAACGTCCCAAAACCATGATATGATTATGAAAGACGGCGTAGTGAAGGGCTCCGGAAATTTCGACCACCTTGGGGTTCTTGAACGTTCACCCAAATTTGAGAACAGAGACCTACAGAATTTTCGCCTGAATTGCAAATACAGCCGCCGCTGGCCGGATTCGCTCCCGCGACCTGCAGTTCAGTAGCCGAGTACCATAGCCACTAGACCACCGCGGCGGAGCAGGGGCCACGGAAAGCATAGGGTTATTATTAGAAGTAATTGTAATGTAAATGTAAATAAACCAACGTGGACGAAAAGGTAAGCTGCCGTTGTCAGGGACTAAACCTGCAACCTTCGAATAACGCGTCAGAAGCTCTTCGACGGAGCTATAGATACAGCGGCAGTCATCCCCACATTCACTTCATGGCTTTATATCTGCATTTAAACGGATAGCGTCAACCAGAGCCACCCGTAAACATTGCAGGGAGCGTGAAACACTCTTTCTTAGCTGAATGGCGTCACGGAGCACGTGATCTTTTTACGAGCTGGCAGCTGACCAATAATTTCTCGCATACTGCCTAAAGGCCTCCAGTCTTCCAAGATGAGATTCTTGCTATGAAATAAGCAAGCGAGTGTAAGTATAAACACTTGTTCTATTCGTAACGCACGGTAATATTGAGAAATAACAGACATTCATGCCAAGGGAAGTATGTGGGATGTTATTAGAGGTAGCTGTAATGTGAATATCAAGAAACAAACCTCAACGAGAACATTACCTGCCACCGGCAGAGACCTAGTGCTATTTTGTTGTTGTTGTTTTACTTAATCATGCAACCACCGAAATATTTTGCCTTCCAAGCTACCACGGCGGTCAGAATTATTAAAGTTTGCGTGCCGATGCGTTCGCTTTGTCGCAAGAAATTTTTCCATTTGTACATTATTTGATTGCTGGGGTAGCCGCTCTAAAGATCGCTTGTTTAGTAAGGAGGCTTTGAATTATTTGTAGCCGTAAATTTGTCTTCTCGTTTTTCCGCAGTAAATCTTGATATGGTGCGAATGAAGCTCCAGTCTGCTGAGCTCAAGCAATGTCAAGTCGTGAAGTCATGAAAAATATACTGTAGAAGTCCGACAAAACCACATGCTTAGCGCCGAGGGTGTACAAGAACCAATGTTTCTGCGCCTGTTGTTTTTTACGTGCTCTTTATCACACAAATTAGTGAAAACAACATTAGGGCATGTTGTCAAAGTGAGTTTCATTCTTGCCAATGAGCTAGCGACTATAAGAACGGTCGTGGGAAAATTGAGTTGCCAGCCGCAAAGCGAGAACAAACATTTATTTCAAAAGGCACACTAACAAATTTCGCACTATTCTTCTAGTGTGCGATATAAAATTGTTGTTGCTTGCTCTGTTTGAAGTGTTCAATTCAAAACTGCAACGGTGTAATAGAAACCATATACCGTAGAAAGAAAACAGCGTGGAAAAATAAGCTCTAAAGTCTCGCGTTTGAACCCTTGAGTCCTCTGCTATTATTACGTATACTGAATAAAGTAAAGCATTTTATAATAATCGTATTTTACCTCTTTCACAGGAAATATTCGCTTGTATTTCTTGGGTATTCTCGAATTTTGTATAGTTTATAAATAGCTAAAACATTTTGTTTAAGGATACTATGCAAATAAAAAACGGTCTTAAGTGCTTCAATTATTAAAACGCTTGTGTTTTGAAATTGCTTAATTAAATTTCTAGAAAAATAGCTACACTGCTAAAAACAATGTCAGTAGAGCAACAGGAATTTTCTCGACACTCGATATTATTAGTTTTTTTTCTTCTTTGACGTACCAAAACCGCGATATCATCACGAGAAATTACGTATATGGCAGAAATGTTGACAAGCTGGACGTGCACCTAAATCTAAGAAAACAGGGCGCAATCATTTCCGTCTCGATTAAAAATGTAATTGAAGCTCATTCGGCTAGCTAGAAAAAGAAATTATGTAAAACATGACGGTTGTAATACAGTTGCGAAATGCCATGCTTGTTCCGCAAAATTTAGATGAATTATTTTGTAACACGACACATTTACCGATGCCTAAAGCAGTGAGCGCAAGCAACGAAAGGAAGTTAAAGAATACCAATGGATTCGTCAATAGTGGAGGAACAACACTGATGTTTGAGTTGTAGCCTCTGAATATCACAATGCGATTATCACACCTAGTGTAAAAGAGGTTCCACAAAATTTCTATCACCAGGAGTTCTCTAACGTGCGCCTCAGACTAAGTAACCGGGTCTCAAGCATTTACTCTATCGGAAATTCAGCCGCCGTGGTCGGTATTCAGTCCCGCAGTACGGGGAACCAATCAAACACCATAACAATTGCAATAGCATGACAAGTAATAGCAATGTCGGAGCTTATACGTGGCCATTTAATACCTTACATAACACGAAATCGTCGAAAGCATCCGTTTATAAGGCACCTCCACAATTTTGAAGACGGAACAATAGTAAAATTCGATTGCCTTCAAAATCTGTGAGCTAAGTTCTGACGCTCATGTTCGTTATCCAGCACACTCAAAAATAATACTTACATACAGTTACAGAAGTCTAAAATACAGATTTACGGGTGTCAAATGTGTAAATATATTTAGTAAATAAGGGGGAACGGACTTGGAATTGTCCGCCATATATAGTTTACAGAAGAACAACGATCTGATCTCTTCACGTATCACGCTTACACTGTACTACTTCGTAATGACAATTCTGAATGAGTATACTCTTCGCAGAATGTGTGCCATAAAATTTCAATAACTACCAACAGTTTATTAGGGCACTTCATGCTCTTTAGATTTGCGCGAAACTGTTTACACTGTGAATACATAGCGAGCTTCGTGTCTTACTTCTAAAACGTCTTTCTTGGTTGTACAGAGCTTTCAGCTTGTTCAAGCGCTTTCCACAAGGACTACCAGCTTAATGAAAAAGGGTGACTGGAAAATAAGGCTGCACCTGCTGCAAGAATCAGAGTAGTGGCTAGTAAGCACCGTAGAGCATTTGTGGCATTGGTCAGTTGTTAGTGCTCTTTTTTTTTGAGAAATGGAGTGCCGCGAGATAGGGAACAATGAACAAGGAGCTACAAATAATCGGCAGGCTTTTTCACTTGCTCTTTTTGTGTGTTTTTTATTTGTACTATACACCACTCCTTAAGAACTTGACTATTGTTACTTATGACTGCGCAGGTTACCTGGGCCGCAACAAGCGATGCTATAAGCGCCACGCATAAAACTTTGCAATGCATCAGACTTGTTGGTCAATACATGAACAATGTGACAATTCTGTAGTGTATGTCGTGAATTCCTTTCCGCTAGACACGTGTGGCATACACTAGCGTACCACGCGCCGCTATGTGACAGAGGTGGGAAGATATGTATCACAGGTGATTGGCTGTTAATATCTGCTCAAAAACGGCACGAATAGTAACAATAAAAATTCGTGAGTGCGCGTTATCTAAAAGTGGACTGCATTCTTTCTACCCTGCACAGCTTTCACCTTTCTGTTAGTGGAACTGAAACGCTATTCCCTACAAGATTTTTTGTCTTTTTGTCTTTTTGTTGCTTTACAAGGCCAATTCGGAAACTTCGTAAGGTATCAGGAGCTACTATTTTATTGCTATGGATAGTTCTGCCGCACTCTCATCTGCTGCCACCTTCGCATCAGGTTCTCCTCATTGCTGTTGTCAATGGTGAGAAGCAAATATCGCAAAAAATATTAGAAAGATGTTTAAAGCTTTGGAAGTTCTGCATCACGATATTGAAATATTATTATTACACATGTATAGTGGGGAGGGGGGGGGGGCTAAACATTTCGATTTCCTAAGTTTTTTTTTACCTGCACCTAAATCTAAGCATATGGGCCTGTAGTATTTGCCACCATGGAAATTCGGCCGCCACCCCCTGTTTTTTTTCCCGCAGACTTCGAATCTGCAGGCCAGCAAATTGACCACCATACTATCACAATGCTGGCGCAAAAAAAGATTTAGACAACTTGAAACAAGGTAAGGAATTAGTGAAATGGTGGTGGGGGCAGTTGGGAAGGTGGTTGAAATAGAAAGAGCTTGTACTACATGGAGCAATTGCACTAAAACGACTGTATTTCGGAAATGTTGTAAGAGAAAAAACTACCTTATGTGTAACAGCGTTTTTACTTTCTTTTTCTTATTTTATGTTTGCATTTTTTGTTAGAAATTGTGTGTTCTGAAATATTACGTTTTTAATTACAGGAGGCCCCAAAGGTCCACGGAGAAGGTCCGAGCCACCGAGAAACGGTGAGTGAACTACTGTTGAGTGAACTAACAACAATTACAAGACGCTTGAGCGTTGCCTTCAAGAGCACATCGCGACAAGGTAAACGAGCTTCGTGCACATCGCCTTCGCAACTGCTAGCCTGCTTCTGTCCTCGACGCATAGACTCAACCATGCCGTAAAGGAAACAGCGACTGGGCGTATAGCATTCGCCGTTTCAAAGTATCATTGAATGTCTACTGCCAACAGAGTTCTGAAGCACGCCACAATTCTTCCTTTCTCCGATTAGCGAAGGTTCTAAGCGTCAGTATAGGGCAGTGCGCAAACCTACCCAGCTCTTCGCTCTGTTGATGGTTCTGCTGTTTATTATAATTCAGTATGTCTGAACGCTTTGTAATGAATGGGCCTTTCAAAAACTCACTCGTTACTGAAACCACATGTTTTGGCACCTCGAGCGATTCTACGCTGCTACCGCGTAACATACGATGCGTTAAGGAGGCCCCCTTCCAGCAAATGACATCCACATGGTGATTTTATCTGAAGCAATTTCAACAAATATCATGCGACTGTGGTATAGAATACCTGCTTGCGACGTGGAGAGCCAGGGTCCGATCCTCACAATGACCCGAAAAGTTTTAAATGCGATTTGCTTTTTTTCGTCCTGCAGGTACTTCGTCCGTCTATCTATCTATCTATCTATCTATCTATCTATCTATCTATCTATCTATCTATCTATCTATCCACCTGTGCGTCTGTCTATCTTGCCACCTACGCCTGTGTGCCTTCGTGGCCACCCCATTATTTCAGATAAACCAAAATTATTACTTGAGGGTAACGTTGTTTCGAGAATATGAGTCGCTGGTCAAGACATCAATAATATGGCAATCCCGTCGAGCACGTCTTCAAAAGCTTTCCACCTGATACGTGTGGCACATACTCGTATGCTTCGAGTGGTTTTGTGCCACAGGTATACGGGTATGTACCACAGGTGTCAGCAGTTTATATCTACCGGGGAGCAGCAACACCACACGTTTGTAATTTTACCGTCACAGCGTTAAGAAAGAAGCTGACATCGGCAGCGTTAAATATAGGGGCCCAAACAGCAACCGGCCCCAAGCATTGCGAGTGGTAATCAAGCATTCTACCACAGAGCCATGCTAAGTCTCAATAACGCTTTTCATAAAAACATCATTTCGGCCTAATATAGGTAAAACTTCTATTGCAGTTGCAATGCTTACTATCCAATTGCTTACTATTCAATGCTTACTATTCAATGACCATGCCATATAAGCTTCTATAATACATCTGTCACGTCGGATCAAGGTTAGTTGTAGTTTTGCTCCATATAATGAAGTCGACCTAGGTAGCAGCTGTATCCGGTGCTCCCATCCTCGCGACTGCAAGCGCAACTTCTCAGCCTACTGCTTCTGGTGTTACTAATACCCATGTTTCTGTTGGCATCCTTCATCATCATCATCCGCAGCAGCAGCTTGACTACGTCCAATGCAGGGCGAAGGCCTCTCCCATGTTCCGCCAGTCAACTTGGTCCTGTGCTTGCTGCTGCCAATTCATACCCGCAAACTTCTTAATATTATCTGCCCACCTAGCCTTCTGTCTCCCCCTAACCCGCTTGACTTCTCTGGGAATCTACTTAGTTACCCTTAATGACCAGCGGTTATCCTGTCTACGTGCTATATGCCCGGCCCATGTCCATTTCCTCTTCTTGATTTCAACTATAATATCCTTAGCCCCCGTTTTTTCCCTAATCCACTCTGCTCTCTTCTTATCTCTTAAGGTTACACCTACCATTCTTCTTTCAATTTCTCGCTGCGTCGTCCTCAATTTAAGCTGAACCCTCTTTGTAAGTCTCCAGGTTTCTGCTCCCTAGCTAAGTACCGGCAAGATGCAGCTGTTACATACCTTTCTCTTAAGGTATAGTGGCAATCTACCTGTCGTGATTTGAGAGTGCTTACCAAATGTGTTCCACCCCATTCTTACTCTTCTAGTTACTTCAATTTTGTGGTTCAGCTCCACGGTTATTACCTGCCCTAAGTAGAAATACACTTCTGTAATTTGAAGTGCACTATTATCTCTCTCGAAACGTTGCTCTCTTCCGAGGTTGTTGTACATTACTTTAGTTTTCTCCAGATTAAATTAAGACCGACCTTTCTGATCTCCTTGTCTAACTCCGTAATCATGAGTTGCAATTCGTCCCCTGAGTTACTCAGCAATACAATGTCATCGGCGAAGCGCAGGTTACTAAGGTACTCTCCATTAACTTTTATCCCTAACTGTTCCCATTCTAGGCCTCTGAAAACCTCCTGTAAGCACGCGGTAAATAGCATTGGGGAGATTGTATACCCCTCTCTTACAGCCTTCTTGATTGGTATTCTGTTGCTTTCATATGAAGCAATATGGTAGCAGTCGAGCCCCTGTAGATTTCTTTCTGTATGTTTATGTATACTTCATCGAAGCCCTGATTCCGCAATGTCTGCATGACTACTGATATTTCTACTGAATCAAACGCCTTCTTGTAATATATGAAGGTTAAGTATGGTGGTTATCTATATTCTGAGCGTTTCTCTATTACCTAATTAATAGTATGAATGTGGTCGATGGTTGCGTAGCCTGTTCGAAATCCTGCTTGTTCCTTTGGTGGATTGAATTCTAATGTTTCCTTAACTCTGTTAGCAATTATCTTTATTTTTGTAAATAGCTTGTATACTACGGAGAGCAAGCTTATCAGCCTGTAATTCTTCAAGTCCTTGTCTTTTCATTTCTTATGTATTAAGATGATCTTAGCATTCTTCAAAGACTCTCGTTCTATTTCCGTCAGGAGGCACCTCGTAACAATCTGTCCTATATCTTTTAGCGGATCTGATGTTACCTTGTCCTCACCAGCAGCATTACGCTTTTGCTGCTATCTTTAGCTTAGGGTTAAAAAATCAAATATATGAGTTAGTCTAGTGAAATTAGTTTCTTAATGCAGGGAGCTACCTTGCCTATTACGTGCATATTTTAATAAATGATTGTTCATTGCAATTACCTAACTAGTGTGCTAAATATTTACATCAGGCACAAAATTGGGTTTTCAGAGTTTGAGAGCGTCTTCAGAAACTCCCATTCAACTATTTGCCATAAAGTAGGTTTCACGTATACCAATTTTTTAAGCTGCAAAAAAGCCAGCGAACTACAAAAAAAAAAGCCATGACTATTCTTTTTGCACAAGGTGGCTGTCAGCAATACGCAACTGATTTCAGTCAGCTACCTCTGATATAGTATTTCGTAACCCTTGTCTAAAAATACCTGGGATATGCCATATATATGGCATATACGGATACACACTTGGAGTAAATGACAGTATATTTGTCGCATATATGGGTGCCTTCATCACGGAAGCCAACGCCCTTCACAAGAGTGCTGAGACTTCTCTATAAATGCGTATTGTTCCCTTTGCTTCTGCTTTCCCATAATTATCAAATTAATACTAAACGAGAGTCATGGTGTTGTGCTCCGCTTTTTGCTGTTGTTCTAGTTAGACTATGCTTCTTTGATGCTGATTGTTTGCCTTTACTGTGTATCTGTTATTACTGATGACAATGCCCCTACACCCATTGACAATATTGGTAAATCAATCAATCGAAACTTGTGGTCCTACTGCAGACAATCCGAAAAGACCAGGAAGTCCTAGGCCGAAACCATCGTACAAGGAGACGGCGGTTTAAATACTCTCAACAATGTTAGAGTAATTGATGCAACATTTTACGGAGCAGCCTGAAACAAAAAAATGAAAAATATGCCCTCGTAGCGTTTCTGTTTTAATTATACAGGCTTCCTAGTAGCTACATATTTGCATTATTTTTATACTATTGTATACTATTTAGACTATTTAGTGAGGCAAAGTGCGCGATGAAGATGCGAGGCAAACAGGAATTCAAAAATGAAAGAACATCACAGTGAAGTCCTTGGTGTTTTCTAATCAACATCGATTTTTGAAGCAATTGCGGTAACAAGCTCGTTTAGCATAAATTCTGGTGTCGGCGTCGGAGTCGTTGGTTATGAGTGAAAAATCATCTTGTGCGTGGCTGACGAATCGAGAACGGTGCAACTAAAATAAATAAAATAAGGACCCCTGAAGTAGAGTGGAGCCTGAACCAGGGTTTCTGGGGTCCAGGTGGCGATCGAACCCGAGTCGTTTGCTTGGGAAGCTGATGTTCTGCCACACGGCCATGCCTCTGCTTGCGAAAGTAGTGAAAAAAACTTCATCTGCTTGGAAATGCAGTGAAAGTAGCTTTCAAGATTTACAAACGCACGCGTCCGGTATACATGCTCCACAATGCAACATGAAATATTGCAGTAATAATGCGTGGTCTATCGTCCATTGCCAACGGGCGTCAGAATATGTGATTATCGTAATGGCTCTGTGGTTGGAAGCCCGTACACTACAAGAAAAGACACACACGCTACTGCGCCTATTTCCTTAAGGGCACGTAGTGAGAGCATAGAAAATTCAAAAACGTTTCATGCACCAATGGTTTGAAGTACGCACTATGAACATATTGTCACTATCGCGTTTCACTCCTAAAGGCGAAGCTTTAGGGTTTTCTAATTTTTTTACTTACTTTTAATGACACTTTTTTGTTTTTTGTGGGCCTAGCATGTATTAAATCAAGACTAAAAGCTATACTATAACTGGCATCCTGGTACTGTGAGGAAGGGGGGGGGTAGCTATATAGAGAGCTATAGCTATTTCGCCTACGTGATAATCCCGTTTTCTCCGGCTGCGGCGGCTGCATTTCCAATGCAGGCGAAAATGTTGTAGGCCAGTGTGCTCAAATTTGGGTGCACGTTAAAGAACCCCAGGTGGTCGAAATTTCCGGAGCCCTCCACTACGGCGTGCTCATAATCATATGGTGGTTTGGGGACGTTAAACCCCACATATCAATCAATCAATAATCCCCTTTTCTAGCATGGGATGCACTCACACAGGTTGAGCGCTTTAACATGGCTTGTGTAGAGCCAT